AAGAAGAAAGTGCTATATTTTTTCAATAAATTTAATCACTATATAACAAGTAAAAAAATAATAGAAACAATAAATAAAAATATTCATATAATATAATTAATAATAACTAATGAAGATATAGTATACTTTTATAGTTTTAATCTTATTAAATCGCTATACAGAATCATACGTTACGTCTTAAAAGAAATAAAGGTAACTAATCTTTGTCGAAGGCATTAGTATAAAAAATCATCTATATTATTGCCAGTGAGAATCTGCATGAGACATTCCTGTATGGCATAAATAATTAATTGAGAGTCTAAAAGTGAAGGAATTCTTTTATTATACAAACAATTATTCCATTGTTCGCAATAAATTAAAATAAAAAACAGATTAATAGAAAATAAATTAAACTTCAGAAAGCAAATATTAATGAAACCTTAGGTAACTTTATATACTTACACCGTATAAACAAATTATGCAGTCTATTAGACGCAACATTATTCCCAGCAACTTCTGCGCTTCGATACCATTTTATGGAAGCGTGTAAATCACGTACAGTTCCGCGTCCAAATCGATACGACTCACCAAGATATTGTTTTCCTTGACTATGGCCATTAGTTGCGGACTTTTGATACCAATAGAAAGCCTTTCGAAAGTCTCTGGGAAGATCTTGGCCAACAGCATAGCTGTAGCCATAGGAACATTGGCCACTTCCATTGCCACCTTCTGCAGATTTTTTGTACCATTCAAGAGCTTTTTGTGTGTCCTTTGTGCATCCAATTCCGTTTTTGTAGAAATAACCTATTTTAATTTTAGTGTTGTTTATTTGTGTTTGTTATTATTTTTTTTTTTGGTGTTTGGTAGTCCGTATATGCATAGAAAAAAAAATAAAACGCTAACCTAGATTATTTTGCCCTTGAGAATTTCCTCCTTCTGCTGATTTTGTATACCAGTAAAATGCTTTTTCTTTATCTTCAACAGTTCCGATCCCTTTAAACATTGTGAAAAAATCATGAGAAATATGAAGAAATGTTACGTATCAAAAAGAAATTTAATTTTACCTTTGTCATAGCAATATCCGAAATTACCTTTACATCATATCGTAAGAATGATCACACATGTATTAGCAAAAAAGAATGCGGTCGTTAAATTGAATTGAAATTTACAAACTTACATTGACCATCAGTATCACCACCATTCGCTGATTTAGAATACCATTCAAAACATTTTCCTTCGTCTTTTTCTACACCAATCGCATTTCTGTACATATATCCAAGCTTAAATTGTGCCACCAAATCACCATTCAAAGCTGATTTTTGATACCAGTAGAAAGCTTTCTTTAGATCTTGAACAGTTCCAATTGCTTTCTCATAGCAATATCCTAGATTATATTGCCCCGTTTTGTGTCCTTGCGCTGCAGATTCATTATACCAATAAAACGCCAAATTAGGATCTTTTCTTGTTCCGATCCCTTCTCGATAACAATAAGCGTAAAAGTTCGCGCCATATTTACATTTATTTTCGGCAGCGATTCTGAATTGTTCAAATGCTAATTTGCTGTCGAATCGTGTGCCTATCCCGAATACGTAACAGAATCCGTGTAGACAGTAGAGCATGTTATTGCGTAATGACGAAACGGAGGTTATTTCATTGTTATCTTTGCAATCATAGAAGATCGCGGAAAGATTTTTTATTTCCGAGGATAAAATTTCGAAGAAGACAGCATGATTGATATTATTTTCCTTAAGGTGTTTATTGATCTCTGTAACCATTTTGTCAAAATATTCACCACGTTTAATCGCTCTATAAAATATCCGCAAAACTTGATTTAAAATATGATTGTTAATGTCGTTATCATCCGCCATCAAACTTTGTTCCTCCGACTTTTCTGGTAGGCGCTCTAAGCATTCAGAAATTTCTGATTTCGCGATTTCGATTGGCTACAGACACGGGCTTTTAATATATCAATCAAATATATGGAAATTTTTTGACGATAACATAAAATTGATATTCTCACCGAAGTTGACACTTCATTTTGGATTACAAATTTTTGATCAAAAAATTTAATCAAATCTTGATCCATAATAACGTAGGATTGATAATATGATAATAGGTAAATAAAGTTAAAACGTTAACGTTAATTTTAAATAGCGTTAACGAATTTGACGACAACGACGACAAGCACGTAACGTTGGGCAATCGTATGACATGATGTACATGTATGGCCGCCCCAATATCGACAATTATAGGTTACAATATACATGTACATGTACATGTATTCAACGAGTCAAATTTTCCAAAGGTTCAGATAACAACGAATACAAGTACAGTTGTGTGCAAAAACATTTGTGTAACTTCTGAATTTTTTTCGGTTTTGTTTAATTGTATGACAAAAATAGAAATTAAAGCTAGTGATACTTTTATGTGTATTTTAAACTCCGTAAAAATTTTTTTTCAAATGTGTCCATCTTAATCTAGAACAACATCAAACGATAATATTGGACAATTTCATGGTCATAAGCCAGTTTTCATATGACTTTGGTATAATTCATACGAAATTTATAATAAATTGTGGGTCATATCAGTGTCATAGGCCAACTCTGTCAAACGATATCGATATTTACACTTGTGGGAGCAGGGAGTCGCAAAAAAGGAAATGGTCGGCATAAAAAATAACGACTCGTCGAAGAGATCTAAATGACGATTGGAAACGGATCATTTTTTACTGACAAGGCTGCTTTTCAATTATTCCGCAACACAATCAAATATTGGTATAAATGTGAGCGACGTAAAATTTTTGCATGGGGTGGATTTAGTGTGAAAGGAAAAACGAATTCTCTTGAACAAATAATGGATGGAAAATTTTATGTTAAAAGATTATATAACAGAAATGAGAAGAATTTTTGGAAGTAGGAGGCGGTTTCAACAGAACAATAATCCCAAACACACTAACCGTATTGATAAAAATTTTATTAAAAATAGTGTTCCCGAAATTATTGATTGGCTCTAATAACCTTGATCTTAATCCTATCGAAAATCTTTGGCGTATTGTCAAAAGGAATGTAGAAAAGCGGAAAAAAAATCGTGATGAATTAAAACGATTCATGGTGAAAGAATGGAGTGGTATTCCAAATTAGTTATAATCAGAACAATGAAAAAAACGACGATGCGAACTTGTTATAGAAAAAATGGTGAACGTATAAACTATTTTAATTGCAGGTAAATAAATCATTTGTGATATTTTTTAATTGTCATTTTTTTTGCACAGCACTATATTAGAGCAATTACATAAAATAGTTTTGCTATGTAGTTTGTGGGTGATGTATTATTTATTAACATTTTAGACAGCTCTTTCGAGTGTCTATTGAAACCGAATCTGGTTCAAAACAGTTGCTAAAACTGATCATTGGTGCCCAAAAGTACGTTTGTCATAATACAGTACTCGTCAGAAATAGCCTGCCCCACATTAATTTCCATAAATCTATCGAAATTTTCCAAACACAAAGAATAACACAACACTGATCATCTATGTCTTTATAGGTCCGAGACGAATCGATTGGTAATATTCTTTTTCGAAACTAATCACTGGATGCCGAGATATTGTTTCCTAAAGTGATCGATTAATTTGTTTAACATCAACAAAAATGAATCACTGCAATATCTCGCTGTTCAATGATCCGATTCGAGCGAATATACTACCATTTGATTGTTTGAATTGGATCACTTAATGTCAAGATATTTCATTATAAAGTGACGATTCATTGTATTTGCGGCGTAGATATTTGATGAACACGCAATGCCCAGTGTTTACGTTGTTCTTTGTGTTTATAAAATTTCATATGATATATGGAAAAGTTATGTGGGTAGGCTATTTCTGACGAGTACTATAAGCGAGTTTTCGCTTGATTTGTCCAGTTGCGCAAATACTCTTACAATGTTTGAATTTATTGTGTATTGAGAAAAGCATGAAACAATTAGGTAATTCTAAGCGCATATAAGCATTATCGTTATCTTTGAATAAATGTGGATTATAGTTTTAATACAATTACCTAGATTTATTAAAAAAATTTACACAGTATCTTCATTTAAATACAGAAGGATCCCATCAAATCACAAAGTAGTGAATCTCTTGCAAAAAATACGGAAGTATAGAAAACAATTTCTAAAGCAATGAATTTAATAAATGACTTCAAATGACAAATATAATTAGAATAAATGAAGCTGACAAAGATGATAAAGACAAGAAAAACTAGAAGCCAAGGAAGAAAAATTAAAAGAGGCAATATCATGACAGTATCTCAACTTTTAGCAACACTTTCATCAAAATTGGTATCAATTATCATGTATTTAGCATCTTAGTTACATTTTCAAATCTCTTTATAACCTAATTTGACTTTTCTATTAAGTGACTATACTTTTCATAATCACATCTTCAAAAAATTGTAAATTACAGTGACTGTGAAAAGGGATTATCAAAAGAATAATGATGACTATTCTTATACTTTTACCCATAATAGTGGTATTTGATCATTTTAAGATCATCTCCCTTGAATCATCATGCCTTCTAAATGAATTCTTTTCTCTAATGCAATCATGTAGAATTTATAGAAAATTTTTTACAAAAAGAGCAAAAATAACAAGTGACAAGTTATTTTGATGATTAAAGAAAAAATTTTCATTAATTTTTGAATTATTGTTGATAAAACTACTAATAAGCATATCTCAATTCTCTCAATTAATTATAAATTATATTTTTAATAGTAATACATAATGAATTTGAGATCATATTAAAATTAATAAAACCTATGTTATTATATCTTAACAATTCTATTAGCCAAAAATAAATAAAAGTATTCACAAATATATCACCAGTTATGAATCTTGTTAATGTAATAAATCTAGTAATCAACAGTCTATAGAATTACTTCAATTACTTGTCATTCCAGAAAATAGATGGAATTATATTATCATGAATTTTATAGTTCAACTCTCAACTATCAAGTCTGAATATAATATAATAGTTATATTTATAGATAAGCTATCAAAAAGAGTGTACTTTATATTAACT